AGATACATAATGAGGTGCAGCTTGTAAAGGACGAGTATCCACAGGTTTAATGATCCGTACAGGTCGAACGGGTCTTTTGTCATAGACCGGATCTTGTTGTACATCGAAGTAAGGGTTGTTGTGTTTCGCGATGTATTCGACGTCTTCCCAGTTTCTGGAAGTTCTTTCGCATTTGATGGTGACAGACTGCGGTGCGCTTGGTATAGGGCTGTAATTGGTCCAGCAAAGGATAGGTAAGGTACTCATCAAGAATTGTTCAGCGTAATTAAAGAAACGCCAGAAAGGGATTCCAATAATAGTGTCGTAAGCCAGATTACTGACCAGCCAGGGAAGTTGTCCAACTAAGAAAAGCGACTGGGATTCGAGATCCCATAGATCTAACTTTTCCGAAACGACCGTGTCGAGAATCATGTATGATTCTTTGTCGGCCAGCCATATCTGCTTCGGTTCAATACGTTTCTTGGGAAATTTGTGCTTTTCGACAAATGTCTTCTCAAGGAATAACCCAGTTGCGCCGCTATCAAAGAGAACACAAGCAAACTTGTTTCCGATGCGACAATGAGAGTCCCAGAGTCCAGCAGACAGTGGTTCGAAGGCAGGTTTATTGGTAGGATCGTATGTTGTAGGCCGAGCAGAGCTACCAAGGGGCTCTATCGACCTTGGAAAAAACTCGAAGATTGATTTGTAGTAGTATTCCTAGTATTCGCAGAGTTGACGGCGTCATCGAGAATCTCCGTAATGCGTGACCCAGCATCAACCTGATTGGCTGAACCTTGTTGTTGATTAGGTTGGCACGACCGCGCTGTCGAAAACCACCGCGTCGGTTCTGAGTTTGCGAGCCTTGCTGTCGATTTTCGGGATTTGACCAGCATTCAACTCTCCAATGTCCCATTTTATTACACAGGGGACAAGGAGTCGTTGGACGTTGACGAGGAACGTGAGTAGTTTGCCATTGTCCACGTTGACGAAAGGGCTGTTGACGTTGGTATTGAACTTGACCTGTAGTGAGACGCCTCACTCCAGGGGGATAGTATGACGTACCGAGGGCATTGTGCCCAAAGGTCATATCATCTATGTCTTGCTCGAATTCCGTAAGCCAAGGATTGGTGTAAGGGGCAAATCGTCCGCCACGACCACCGCCACGACTCCCTTGACCGCGGCTGGCTCCACGGCCGCCACGAGCACTTGTTGTCGAGGCAATCAGATGAGGTGTATTGGCTTGGTTGCCGTCAGTAAACCCATGAGCCACATGACCACGACGGGCTGCAGTGATAGCTTGATCGAGAGTGATAGGGGTATTGATGTTGGTAGTGCTCGAGACTTCGAAGTTCGTAACAGCTTCAGCAAGATAATGACCGATTACTGTATTCTTGAGAAGACCGGCCTTGAAGTATCGAATCTGATCGATAAGGGGAATGGTGCCTTGAGTGTTATTGAGACAATGAGCGGCTTTGAGCTCATTATTGGTGTCTTGAAACTCCTTGATATATTTTTCGAGAGAGTCACCGAGCTTGAGGCCGGAGAGCTTGAGCTCGATTGTATTACGCAAATTGCAAGGATAAAAGTGAGGGACAAGAGCCGTTTGAAAAGCTGTCCAACTTGCGGGAGCGCCGGCGGCGTAAGTCGTATTGTACCACTCGAGAGCAGTACCCTTGAGGTAGGTATTGTGTAACGTCAGAGGAAACGTAGACGATATTGGGCCCTTCCGAGAGGGCTGAGTGCAGTGTATTGTAGTGAAGAAAAAAGTAAGAAGCTCTTCGCAGCGGCCGCTCGACTGACAGCTTTTTATATGGGCTGCCAGTGGGGCTTGCGTGGCTTCAGTGAGGCTTGGCGTCTTATGCAATGAATCACCGAGAGCCCGGGTGGCCAGCCCGGGTCTCGGGTCAAGTAGAAGTAAAGAGATATAATATGAAATACAAGTTCGACATCTCGGTGTTAAGAAGACTCTTGCGAGAATTCTTACGGACTTTTTCTGGCCTACCGTACGCTCCGACGTCATCAAATACGTTGGAACTTGCAAATCCTGTCGACAATTAAAACCTGGTCATCATCGATACCGATTTCTTTGACCTCTTCCTATACCTTTTGGAAGATGGCACACAATCGGATTCGACATTTTCGAAGTAGATGAAACAAACTCTTGTCTCGTCTGCATTGATTACCTTTCCGGACGTGTGATTCTGACACCGATCAAGAAGACAATTACTGGACGCGAACTAGATCAAGTCTCTCTAGATCATGTTTGGAAACATGCCGATACGCCAAAAGTCTTCGTTACGGATCGGCAACCTCGCGCACTTTCCAACTTCTTCCTCGCATTCGATATTCTCCTCGGCATAAAACACAAATTCGCTACGGCTTGTCATCAGCAAACTGACGGCAAAGTTGAGCGAGCCATCCAAACCCTGAAAAGGATTTGGAAGCAATACCTCAACTACGACAAAAGCAATTGGAAGAAACTATTGCCTTTAATTGAACTTGCATACAACACTGCTCGGAGGGAGGAATACGAGGATCTATCGCCATTCGAAGTAGATCTCGGACGCTCGCCAATCCTCTCGGGTTGGAATCCAACACCCGAAGGACAAGAACTCAAACTTCGAGCTGTAGATCGAAACGAAATCGCACTCTTCAAGAAAGGGCAAGAAGACATCGCCCGTATCGTACGCGAAAACCTTCAGAGATCGCAAGATCAATTTGCACGTCAACACGACAAAGGTCGAACGCCAATTGCATACCAATTGGCGACCTCGTCGATCTGAATTGACAAGGAATCAACCTAGAGGTAGACGCTTGACAAGGACTTTGATACTCAGCTACGTGGATCGGACCATTCAAAATTATCGCACTGGGAGCACATCCTGATACCTACAAACTCGATTTATCACCATCAAAGATCAGCGGCATCCAGCCCGTCTTTCATGTTGATATTTTACGACCACATCGCGAAGAGCAATATCCGCAACGTGCGGTTCCACAACCTCGTCCACCAATCGAAGAACGCGGACAACCTGATTGGGTTGTAGAAGATATCGTCGACGAGCGACGCGCCGTACGAAATCTTCTAGTCAAATGGCTCGGTTATCCTGACCCTACTTGGGAACCCGAATCCGCACTTTGCTACATGCCTGCTTACAAACGACGAGGAAAAGCTCATCCACAATCTTTGTGGATACGGAGACGAACAGCATAGAGCATCTCATATCACATCACACGCGCGATGCCGCAAGAACCGCTCACTATCAATCACACCGCTGACAATAGCGACGTAAACTACATCACATCACGCGCGGCAACGCAAGAACCGACCTTACACACACACATCACACACGACGTCCGCTCAGGGACGCCTTTGCCTCAAACACACACACATCACACAGTGCGTCAAAACTATAAAATGAACAAGTGCGTCAACACTTTAAAATGAACATGAGCTCTCCCTTTTTTCACATATCCCTCGTAGTTCACCTCTTATTTATTCGGCGCCCTCCTCAGGATCTGAGGGAGGTGTCGGGGATATCTCATCTTCACTTGTATTTCATATTATATCTCTTTACTTCTACTTGATCCGAGACCCGGGCTGGCCACCCGAGCTCTCGGTGATTCATTACATAAGACGCCAAGCCTCACTGAAGCCACGCAAGCCCCACAGGCAGCCCATATATAAAGCTGTCAGTCGAGCGGCCGCTGCAAAGAGCTTCTTACTTTTTTCTTCACCACAGTACACTGCTCTCAGCCCTCTCAGAAGGGCCCAATATCGTCTACAATTCCTCTGACGTTACACCGGCTCCGCCTCCACCGGGCGGACGCCCTGGACCACCTCCCCCTCCGTTTCCGTCATCGTCACTACTCTAATCCGACGAAGAATCATCCGTTTGCTTCTTCAAGTAGACGAGTCGTTTCATCAGCTTATCCCTTTCTTTTCGCTCAGACCCGTCAGTGCGACGCTTTGCCTCCTTCATCTTTTCCTTCGTAATGCCACCTTTCCCCTTATATCTCGAATCCGACACTGCCTTGCACCCAAGGTAGTCCGCCTCCTCCATTAACGCCTCAAACCACCCCTTCTTCTTCTTCGCCTTCTGGAGTTTCGCGTGGGTGAACGCCAGATGTTTTGCGAGATTCTCGTAGTGATCTTTCCGATATTGAATCATTGCTACCTCAGTTGCCAGTCAAAGAGCTTCTCTCACAAGGTATGTCGACATCGAGGAGTCACTTGCAGCCGCTGCGGAGGATGCGCGCGTCGAGCGCGTAGTCGGTCTAGAGGGTCCCGGCGGGGTACAGCTGGAGCAGCTTTCGGAGTCACCGTCTGTTTGCCATCTTTTCGCGTATCGATTGGTTGTGTGGGATACTGAGGTTGAGTATGGGAACGTTGGTCTTACCTCTCTGGGGCAACTGACAGCTGTCTCTTGTTTTATACTTGCGGCGTTTCCCTCTTCTTCTTTCTTTCTCTTTCATTCTCTTTCATTTCATTCATAGCTATTCACCCGACGTCCGCCCGCTCTTCGCGTACGGCCGCAACCATTGTACTCATTGTTTGATTTATCTTTCACTTAGATAGACTCGTGAGTTTGAGTGGGGGTGTTGGAGGTATCATCCTCCCGAGTCCCCGGTTAGGGTTCCCGTAGTTTATTTCCCCACGTGACTTCCCTCCTGCTCACGCCACGCTTCCGCGTATGGGACTTCACTCTTTTCTCCCCTTCGGACCTCGCCTCCTCTTTCTACTCCAGACAAGTTCCTAGACTTCTCTGTATAACTTTATATACAACAAGAGCTTTGTCTCACCATTACATAGAGTTTGCTCAGTCATCTGCTTCCTCTGCCGACTACTCCTAAGTCTCAGAGCCCAGAAATCCGCCAAGTCGAAAATAAGAACGATGCCACATGACCAGGGAACTTTTTCCTAGGGAAATGTTGTCAAAATCCTCCATGATTGAAACTTGGCCGAAAAATGTTGAAGTCTCGTGCACCGTCATCAAAATGTTCATCTCTCATGGCCAAATGTTGACTTCTCGTGCGCATGATCAAAATGTTTGCATGTTGTGAGACAAAAAACGAAAGAGTTCACCTCCCATGTATTTTTGGCAGAAGCGGTGGCCCATATGCTGCTCACTTTTATTGATAAACACATCCTCGTGGAACTAAAGAGGTCACTCAACACTGGTTTGTGTATAATGTAGTGTTTTCACGAGGGGACGCAGTCCGTTTCGTGAACAAGGACACCGTCCCGCTTCCTACCCATCACTATAGTCTCGCTTGACTAGCACGGTGGCGTGCTCCGAAAAAAAATAGGGTCAAATTGTGGCATCCTTCCTTTCTCCTTACAATGGCTGCAGTTGATCCTCGTCTTCAAATAGAAATTGGTGGAAATCCATCTGCTGTTGACATACGGGCACTTCTTATTCCAACAGTCCCAGTTATCGCTCCACGGCACTATTTAAAATAAGATGGCAAGTAAAGGTAAGACGCAAATGAACTATTTCTTTCCTAATTTCATATGAACAACTTGCAAGTAGCAGGGGTACCCGGCAACTTCTTGATTCTTGAAGATAAAGCCAATTCAGTACATAGAGCTAACTGGGTTCAGCGACACGTTCGACTTCAAGACCAGCATTCCGATAGGTCACCGTTGGTTGGAGGATTGTGTTATCGGACGTTTTGACAATGTGGGGAAGTGTTGGGGTATACAGATAGCGTTGGACTTCCTGGAACGAAGAGGGACTCCAACTATTCAGGTCAACAAGAAAGGAACGGTCATTGGCTTTGTCTGGAACGCAACGAAGGACAAGGACATCGTAAAGGAGCCAATCCCCAACGAGATTCACAGGGATGATGCACGTTTAGTGCGGGTTGAGATGTATAGTAAAATTAGCGATCCCGATACTGTTTACATTGGTGAACTTCATGTAAACCGCCGTTTGTTCAAAATGTAAATGCGCTGAAACCAGCTGCTGGAACCATCACATGATGTATTGTCCTGCATGTTTCCGCTATGCTATTCATAGTCTAGTTACATGCCCAGAGTGAGGCGCTGGACGGCACAGTGCCGACATCAACAACATATCGTCTTTGGACGAATGCGGAGACGGAATCTCTCTTCGCCTTGTACGCTTACGTGGACTCTGGACAGAGTGAAGTTGGAGAATGCACGTTTTTTATTTCAAGACTTGAAACAAAGAACGTACAATCGAATGCCCAACCGAACATCAGAGCGTGTAAGACTGTCCAGCAATTTGAAATATAGGGACGAGAGGTTCATCCCACTGCGGCGGACCGTTTCCAAGCCGGCGACGCTCGAAGCTGGTGTGCTTCGTTCCGTTAAAGATGGACTGAGCATCGTCCGTATCGTTCGAGCGTCCTCGGAAAGAACCGAAAGGAGCAGGAGCAGGAGCAGGAGCCGCAGAAGGAACTCGACAGCATCAGCATCGTCGCGTTCAAGGAGCCGGACTCGAAGCCACAGGGACGATGAGGAAGATGTGGCGGTGGAGCTTATGGGAAAGTCGTCGGATGGCACACTGCTGGGGCTGGCCGTCGGAGGCGAAAAGGTCGTAGTGGACATGTCGGACGGCACCATCGAAACTGGTACACATACGATGTACTTGCAGAGCATCGAAGAGACGGCGGATCGCACGCTGTCCATTGACGCGATAGCGGCCGAGAAATCTCCGGACAAACAAGTCAAGAAGGTAAAGGGACCGGGATTCTTCTCAAGGCACGGGAAAACATGCTCATTTCCATCGTTGTCGCTGTGATCATCGCTCTTCTCGGTAGGAACGCTCCCGGAAAGCCGTGTGTCGTCAACTTCGCCGAAGGGTTCCCTGTCGCGAACGGAACGATGGTCGCTGTGCCGGATATCGCGATCCCAAGTCGGCCTCTCGCCGTCGGTCTGAGCGGCCTGCAACTAGCGAATCTGTGCTTGGTCGGGGCAGAACCGCCGCCGGCCGGCCTCCACCACGACGGTAATGGCCACGACGACAGCTACAGCCACAGCGACCACGACGTTGCCACCAACCACGACAACCGTGACGGCGACAGCGACGGCGACAGTAGAAGCGACGGTCACCCGCTATGTCACTGAGCATAGGACCCGACAGGACTCCGTCGCCGAGAAACTGATGCAGGTATTCACCAGGGGGACAGGAAGGCGGCCGCGGAAAATGTGGAGAAGCTGGCGCAGACTGTGCGAGCTCTGGACGCGGCCCGCGCCAATATCACGGACGTGAACGCTCAGCTCGCGGCCGTCAAAACGACCTCATCGGAAGAGGTTCGCCTCGTGGAGATGGAGCGGCAGAAAGTCTCTCAAGAGGTCGAAAGACTCACCACCATCGTCGTACCCGAGCTTTCCGGCTCGGTGCGGAACCTGACCCTTGAGAACGAGGCAATGAAGTCCGCCATCCGGAAACTCGGAACCGAACTGAAACACACTGAGAAAAAGGTGCAGAAGGCAGAGAACTCCTTAACGAATTTGGAAGCTAAACATGCTGCGAGCCGAGAGGAAAGCGATCACCGCACGATGGTGGCAGCCTCGACGATCGAGGAGTATCGCCAGCGCACCGAGGCCGTCCTCACGTTATACGGGTTCGCCACGAATTTGACACTAGGCTTGCCGAAGCCGGCATCACGTTGCCCGCTGGGCTGGGCGACACGAAGGATCTTTCAGAATTGGTGCAGAAGGTTCAAGCCCTGGAAGGAACCGCGTCGACGAACGCGGCCAAGATGGAAGTGCTTCTCTTTGACAGCATTGCCTTTCACGAGGGACAAGATAAGATGTTGAGGGATCCCATGACCGGCAACAGGACGTACACCGTGGCGAAACGATGGGAACTCATCCGCCACCATAAAGGCGAGATCAGTCGCATCCGGGAGGCCCTCATGTTGGTCAAGAAGGAGCGAAAGCGGCAGAAAGCAGAGCTCTCCGCGGCTTGGGTTTCCGCGACCTCTATTCCACGTTGCAAAGCCGATTCGTAGCTCTGAGAGCCTCTCAACGGACCCTCACCGAAATTATCGCGCCCACGATCGTCGCCGAACGGAAACCGGACGGAACGTACGCCGTCGTGGACGATGCCGGAGCGCTTCTCATGCACCCGGCTGGAAACCGGTTCTGGACGATCTGCGTAACGGTCTCGAAGCTCAGCTCAACGGTAAAGCTGGCAGAGCCGAGTAGTAACATAGAAACCCCACTTAAGGAGGAAGCAGCACTACATGCCTCCACCATTGGGCCATCTTTGACGCTTGCACCCCCCGACCAGTCCTTGCAGTACCTTTCCTTCGAGGCCCTGTTAGCTGCTGTCCAAGCGCATGCCACTAAGGAAGGATATGCTCTGACAGTGCGTAGATCAGCTCACCAGCGTCAACAACAGTGGCTTCAGTGTGATGGGGGGGGACTTCCGGATGAGCGCTATCAACCCACAGGGAAATGAGCCTCGGCGTCAGGGAAAACTGGTTGCCCCTTTGAGATGTACGCACGTTTCTTGAAGAGAACAGGGACCTGGTGCTTGAGCGTTGATTTGGAGAAATGTCCAGGTCCACCGCAATTGCCTGAAGTTGCTGATGCCAGGTTGGACGAAAAAGCGGCGACCGTGTGGCGCAGCTGCCGTCGGAATAAGATGACGCCGTCGAAATAGCGATTCCCTAAATAAACCTTTGCTGGTGGGCATGTGCCGTCAATTACACTGCGTCACGCTGTCAAGAAAAAGGCCCAATGTCAAGGTGCTTTTTGCGTGCTGACTGGAAGAGCGGAAATAGTGGCCCTAGAACTTTAGATCACAAGCTGCATACAGTACTACAGTATATAGCGCCGGGAAGATGCCATACATGAACGCAATCCAAGGTGCCGCTCAGAACGAGTGAGGATATCATATGGAGAACCAGAATCCGCTCCGGTGGATGTAGCGGTAGCGTCTCCTCAATGAACTCTATTTGGCTTATCAAGTGTTCCGGGCCTAACCCGCGGTGTTGTTATAACTTGTGGGCTCTTGGTGTTGCGGCCAAGACGCCAACCGGATATCGCCCGCATATTGGACGCCGTGGCCAGCTGCCGCCAGAACAGAAACGCAGGAACGATTCGAAGGAACACAAGACTCAGCACCTTCCCGCTGGACACCGTCGTAGAACAGAACATAGTAGATAGCATAGCCGCCGGTCGGTCTTCCTCTCGTCGCCGCCCATCACTATTTATACGCCGCTTGGCAGTCAAGGTCGGAGGAACACTTCCACTCTCCCTTCAGGAACTCTCATTCCAATAGACGGAATCAGCGCTCAGGTCATGTCGGCACCCGCACTTGACCTGCCTCCCCACTGGGTCGCTCAGTGGGACCCCACGTACGAGAGGAACTTCTATGTTGGTGAGTAGGAAGCACAATAGCATTCACTGAACACTCTCGCATACTTGATGCTAATCGCCTGACTTTCGTAGACACACAGACAGGCCATTCCCAGTGGGAACCGCCAGTCATGCCCACAACGACCACCACCGTCCAGTCTCAGTGGGAAGGGCCAGTCCTGCCCACGACGACGAGCACTGTGCAGAGCCTCCCCCGCGGCCGGGCCCCAACCTCCTCCGGCAAGCAGCCCGCCACCCACAACGACGACGACGTAACCGACCCGTTCGCCGACGAAAACAGCCCTAACGAAAACGACCACTCCGTCGAGCCCTACGAACTCCCCGCCTCCTCCTCCTCCTCCGAGGACCCCGCCTCCTTCCTCGCAGCAACCGAGATCGTCTCAGAAGACGAAGTCCTCGCCCGCAAACTCGCTCAAGAGGAAGAAGACGCCGCCTTTGCCCGCCGCCTACAAAGTGAAGAAGACACCCGTGTCGCCGCCCGCACCGCCGAGCATCAGTGGAGACAGCAACAACACCATCTCGCACAACGGAAGGGATACCCCATGGGCATGCGCCCGAACTACGCTCCTGGCGGCTATCCTACGCTCCAGCCCGTTCCACCTGCGCCCCAAATCCCCGGCCACCAGGTGCTCTACTACGTGCCTGTCTACGCACCGCAGCGGCCGCACCCATCATTCATGCACCCCACCGGTAACGGCTCACCCTTTAATGGCGTGGGTGCGATCTATGCCCAGGATCAAGCCCTCACGGACGCACGCAATTCGATGGACACTCCTGCCCCGCTAAAGAAGAAGAAGACGTGGTTGGGCAAAGTCTTTAGGAAAAACAGTAGAAACGAAGACCATACCAATTCCCTGACACCAATGCAGCAGGGATACCATCAATCAACACCCAACCTTCTCATCAACACCGACGTCCCTGACACTCAACGCTTCAACAATCATGGAGCACCGTCTCCCGTCGCCTCGGCATCACCCACTTCCCTTGGAACCCCGCCTATCTCACCGCTTGCGTCCCCGCTGCCTAACCACGCCTCGTCGGGTTACTTGCCCCCGCTATTGCCGTCGAATGTGCCGTTGATCCCGACGCCGGTGGAGCATGGCGCGGCGGGGACGGCCAGGGCGTAAGTGGGATGCCGGTGGGGGCCGGAATGCGGAGAGCGATGGTGGCCCGAATGCGGCAATACTCCGTCGGGTTCAAGCGATTGGACGGACAGCAGTATCGGAGCCTATGGGTGAACGACATTTTCCTGGCGTAGTCTCACGGCGTACGGCTCATAGACAATCATCTTTGTTACCCCGACATCCCTTCCTCACCGCGTAAACTACCCCTATCGTAGGGACCCGCTCGTTTCAATTGCACCGACTGTACTGTTCCCGACCCCTAGCATACTGACACTGCCACATCATATCTGTAGCCCAGACGCTTTCCATCACATATTGAAACGCAAAGGGCAGCCTGGCGCTGCTTCCTTCCGTCGTATGTTTTTCTGTTGCTATATACATCGCATTGAATCTGTATCTAGATCTCTCATTCGCACCGCTCTATCTATGCGGGGATACCTCGGTGAGCTGTTGAAGCGCACTCATGCTCCGCACCTACTCTCTTTGGTCATTGGCACCTTCGTTCGGGACAAGTTGCGGGACCTCCCCTTTTCCACCTTTGCTTTGAAAAGGAATACCTGGCTTGAACGCATCTCCACATCTCACGCGTTATGAATGCGTCGGACTCGTAAGTCCTGCCGAATTCTCCACTCACCTCGTCTTTCCCGACGGCGATCAATCCAATCCCAGGAATGGAGCGTAGCAGCCCTTTCTTCAGGTTTACTATGAATGCCATCGGCGATGCAAATCGGCCAATAGATGAAACTCAAGGGACCGCCGTTGGGTCTCTAGGTTCAGGTTTTGCCAACTCGCTGCTCTGGATTTGATGATCCTTCCATGATCAAACCGAAACTGCATAATGCCCTCAGTCACGCGAATGGCATGGATGCAACTGTCGCAGACGATGCAAGTCCTGCGATCTATGCTATATGGTACAGGAGTTTCATTCTGGCTTTAGCATGGATCGTATCCCTGCTCATGCACATGGCCCAGTTTCCCCCCTCCCTGCGTCGACCGTGCTGAGTGGAGGGGAGGAAACTACCATGAACAGCCACAGCCAGGCACATTGACGCTGGGTAATGCCTATGAGACACCTTCTCACCAACATACCACCGATCCCCTTTCTCGAGGCTTGTTGTCCCGCATCTCAGCCCTTTGGTGTAAGTTGGGAGTGTGTCCGAGGTACCCAACGAGGTGGGCGTTTGAAGGGTGACAGAGCAGAGTGTTCGCCACGCACAACACAACTGTGGGTTGATATGCATGAATATCATACAATAAGGTGGACATGGATATTAATGCCTACATACTAGTACGTGCCCTGATTCCCGACGCCACTCCGACTCTCTCCCTTCCTGCAGTAATGACTACGGAACGAAGACAATACGTTCCATTTTCAACCTCCCCTCGGATTACGCCCATGTATCCCCCAACAAACTCGTTTCACCTCACGACTACGGATTCCTGCAGCTTTCCATGCCCCGCTCCCATTCCGTTCGGCCCTGCTTTTGTTGATCTAACCCTGCAGTCTTCATCACAGGTCACCGAGGAGATGGTTGCGATGCGAGCTTGGGTACTTCCTGAACCTCTCCGCCTCTTCGTAGACCTCACTCTCTTCCCCGTAAAACCAGCGAGCGGAATGCGCAATGTAACCAACCGCCCGGCGTGTAGTCTTCCTGGTTTGAATCGCAATCTGAAACAGGTCGTAGAAGGTGCGGTGGTAAAGCTTCGAGCCCTCTTCTAATTCGTCGTAAAGTGCGATGATACGCTTGCCGACGAGTAGACCTTGCGGAACTTGCGAATGCGATCCGAGGACACCTAAGCTCTCGTCCAGCTCCTGGTGCTCTTGTATCTTCCGCTCGAGGTTCCTATCGTCGCCGGTGCAGACATCGCAGGTGCAGTTCGAAATCGAACGCCCTGGAGAGAATTTGTCGCCTGTTTCTGAACTTGCGCACATCCCCTTTTCCCTTGTAGCTGAGTGTGATTTTTTCATCCAGCTTGATCGTTCGCGAAGCCACCAAGATCTTTACTGTGTGGTTGTGGAGAAAGTGATGATCACTGTTCCACGAACAGGGGTGGGTAACGCGAGCCATGTTGATGAACAGCCCCTCCAGTAGGGATATCGGCATCTTTCACACGCCATTCCATTTTGTCTGAACTTTTCCGAGAGAGATCCGTTGGCGGGCAGCAACGCATCAACAGCCCTTGCAACATCTTCATCCATCCCCTCGGCCGGATGCAGCATAGTGGGTCTCTCAACCATACTCTTCCCATCCTTCCCGCAACGCAAAGACACCAAGCCGATCCTCTGATCTCCCAGTCATGTCCGATCTCCCTCGACTTGCAGCATCAGTGTTACGGCCTCAGCAGCATCAGGTAGAGGCGAAGAGGCGGTGAAGAAACGCGCAGGACATTCCTAGTCATCCCCGCATGCGTCGCCTCGGTTATGTCACGCCCAGCGGCGCTGTCGTATTGCTGTCAATCCTGTCAACTGCAAAAACGTAGGCGTAGAACGGCCCGCCGCTATCGTAGCTCAAGCGTATCTTTCCCTCTTACGGCCTTGTCCGCCTTGGCTTCGTCTACCGTCACGCTCTACGCCCGATGACATCCCAACACATTGTCCCCTCCCATCACGCGACGAACGGCCCAGAAGGCTATCCGACATACGCTAAACTCAATCGACCAGACCGCAATCCCCTCGCCCTGGCGCACGCTGTGTGTCGAACACAGCCCCGCGCACACACCCTCAAAGACCTTTACGGTGCATGCCGCTGGCTGAGCAGCTCGGGAACTTTGTTTGGCAGGTAAACCGTTGCAGGCATCAATCACCGCAGGGCAGATCAGGAAGCCCAAGGGACCGTAAAGGCCAAGGCCCAATGCTGGCCGTAAATAAACATGGACAAACATTTACGATTGATGGGCGCGGGACCTTTCAGTGGTGGTGTGAGGAGACGGTAAGGGCGTTTCCTGGAGGTTTTTGGAGGCGTGGCGTGCGGTGCGGCATGCAGGCGTTGGTTTACATATGGGAGGGCTTTCATGATTCAGGATGGCATGGAGGGTAAAGCCGGATGCGTAGCCTTGCCCGCCGAGTATAAAACCCCAGCCCCTGCTGTCCTGGTCTTGCCTCATCTCAACCCTATCCGGCACATCAATAGCGAAACGCTCAATACGTAAAAAGTGCTATAACTCATAACCCCATACCGGAAAACCCTCACATCCACCCTTCAGAAGAACCATGCACACCCTCCTCCTCATCCTCGGCCTCGCGGCCACCGCCGGCATGGTCAATGCCGCCCCCGTGACACCTCCCGTGCAGAATCAGAACTTGCCCAATGCGAATGACGTTTACTTCAGCAGGTGCGTTGTTCTTTCGCACTCAATAGTCTGCACATGTATCTTTAGACCCTTGTCTCATCTGGATATATATAGCGTCAACTACGCTGGCTCGGGATGCCCAATCTCCCCACCCTCAGCGGTGGTCACCTTTGCACCGGACAAGACCTCGTTCACGGTCTTGTTTGACCAGTTTGTTGCGCGGACTGGGCCCGGTAAGTCCTACACTCTCCTTCTCTCGAGCGATCCCCCTCCCCGTTTTCTGACTATGTCGCCTCCCACTTCGACGGACTCTGGATCGCTACGCTTCTCTACTAGGCGTATCGTACTCGGAACAACGCAAAAACTGCCAACTCACAATCTCCGTGCACGTCCCCGGCGGCTGGCAGTACTCGATCGCATCCGCTGATTTCAGAGGCTATGCGAATCTGGAGGATGGCGTGACCGGACGGCAGCAGAGTATCTATTACTTCCAGGGTGATCAATACACGGTGAGGGGCGAGAGGGTGGGATGTGACTGTTAAAGTGAGGTGATGCTTATGAGTGTTGATTTCTGGTGATTGCAGACGGTCACACAAGCCTTGATCAAGGGTCCAACGCAGGATAACTACAGCTTTAGGGACCAGATTGTATGTGTCACTATTCGTTTATGGTCGTCCGTGATGGATTTGGTTACTGATGCTAGGTTCGGGGGTCTAGGTCTTGACATCGACGTCGTGGTCGCCGTGCGGTGAAGAAAGGCCGCGTGAGTTTCTCCCTTTTCCTCTTCTTGGGCATCACGGTACTGATACAATGTTTTCCATGTTTTGCAGTTAACATCAACACAGCGATCCTGGTGAACTCCAGAAAGAAGGGCGCTTCGGGCGAGCTTACGACCGACTCGGTGGATGGGAAGGTAGTGCAGGAGGTACGTTACGATGGTTTGATAGTTCATTCGTAGATGGGGGGGATATCTCACTCTCTTGGTGTGATTTTTCAATGCAGTATCAATTCCAATGGAAGAAATGCAGATCGCCGCTTGCAAGCGCTGAGGCGGTGCCTGACCCTGATGCTGGGATTTGAGCGGCGGCGGGGATGTGAAGTAGATCCACGGTGGTACTCGCGGATGAGGACGAGTCAAGGGAGGAGATAGGGTTGTTCTTTCGCCTTTTCCTACGCTGGACATTTGTCGTTCCGCTTTCTCTTGTGACGAGAACATTGTATGCTTGTGTGTGCTCTCTTGTGCAAATGTATTGTATGTTTTGTGTACGTTTTTTGTTTGTTTCAATGTAAGACAATTGCATCGCAAGCATTTGGCTACCTGGATGGTGGGTTTGCAAAGGTATAAGGAGGAGGGGGGAAGGGGTGTCGATGCCGTAAGGAGGGAGATGGGTGGGGGGTGAATCCCGCCGGACAAGGAGGACTCTGAGAAGGTGTTCTCTCTGCCCTCAACGCGTCCTCTCTGAACACAACGCGCGCGAGGTGTGAGGCCGTCCGCTGCCCCTGCTCTCGTCGTGCTCTCGTCGTGGAAGCTACTGAGATGACGCCAGGGGTGTCTGTCGAGCACTTGTTACTGTAGGTACGTTGTCAATAGCTCAGCTTGTTCTTGCCCAGCGTTGGCGGACTGACTGATCCTTGAATCTACTTTTCCTCGAAAACAGGTGGATGTTCGGTGCGTCCTCGTCCTGCGCTCTCGTCCCCGCAGGTGCGTCTTCGCCCAATCCTCCGTAGGAAGAGACCCGTGAGAGGCTAGGCCACATCCACACACCGCATGCAGCACTCATGGCAACCCACCCCTCAAACTCCACGACGGCCGCACTGGTGGTCATCTCCGTCAACGGCAACCACGGCTCCACACACGACTTTGACAACTTCGCCCTTTCGCTGCCCCAGCAAGCCGCCAACGAAACACTTCCGCCAGTCTTCCACCTGCAGTCAACTACCAGTCAGGGATGGCAGACTCACGACGGCATCGTCATGATGGCCACCCGCGCCGCAAAGGAGGCTGTTACCTGGATGCGCGAGAATGTACTGCCGAACATGCCAAAGGGGGATGGGGACGTGAGGTGTAAGTTATACCTCTCTGTCGTAGGTCACAGTCTCGGCGGGCTCATTGCACGGTACCTGATCAAACTGCTACTGGAGGATGCCTCGCCGACGAACTCGCATACCTCCCTGCTCCATCTTCTACCGTCGGACGATACAAACATCACACTACACCCATTGACCTTCATGACAGTCTGCACCCCGCACCTCGGCTCCCGCCGCACGACCCTCAACCACTGGACCGCCCCCTTCTTCCGCTCCATCGTCGCCAACTACCTCAAATTCGCCGCAGGAACCACCGGAAAAGAACTTTATATGGTCGACGGCGACCGACTCCCGAACACATCCAATGACGACGAATGGTCCGATGACCCCGCGGTCCCACTACTCCTTCGCATATCCCACCCACGATCCACGTATGTAGCTGCTCTCAAACGATTTCAAATCGTCCTGATCAGCGCGATACAAAACGACATTCCCGTCGGTTACCTTTCTGCCGCCATCACCGCCATCCACCCGTACCCGGACCTGCTCGCACACCCAGAGAACGCAGGAGGGGTGAAGATCGTCGGCGTGTCGGGCTTTACCGCCACAATACCTGCTCAAAAATGCACGCTTCTGAGCGAATCCGATGCCAGCAGCGATACCCTGCGTGCGTTCTGGATGAAGGAGTTGTTTACACATACATACTTGGATGATACGCCAATATTGACTCCTCAAACCGTCGAACTCGCACCCTCCGTCTACACCTCTTTCCCCACCGACCAGACGGAAACGGAAACGGATTTCCCATCCCTAACCCCCATCGATGCGCGCAAGACCACACTCCTCCTGTACACCCTGCACGCCTCCCTCCCCCCTCTCACGATCCGCCGGATGGACCTTGACTTCCGGCTAAGCAACCCGCTGGCGCGGTTGGCGACGCATGCGCTTGCGGTGGGAAAGGCGGAGGGTGGGTGGTTGAATGTGGAGGGGGGGAGGGTTGCGAGGGTAGTGGGGGAGCTGCTGGCGCGGATTGTTTTGTTGGACTATGTTCGGATGAGGAGGGAGGGAGGGGTGAGGTGTAACGAGGTCGGGTAGAAAGGAGGGACGCTGGAACGATAGGGACACCGGTTGACGACCGCCTAAATGAGTTCTTTACCCCGCCTGCTGGTTGACACCTGCCTACCGCTACATCACAATCGAAGGCCACCAGGCCACTCGGACATGTTCCTAATTAAGACTCGACGCGACACCCCAAACTTTATCCATGTACAAAGTGGACAGGAACCCAATCGACTCGAGATCCCTTCGAGGAGCAATCGATTTTGGCTTGAAATCACCACAGCAGACCACCGGTTATCTTTGGACCTTGAACGAGATGTGGTTGAGGATAGCGTAGGATATATTCGGTACGTGCGGAACAAGGCTTTCGCTGAGCACTAAAGGGTTGGGCATCTGGGTCGGGCAAATGAAAGCGTATCACCAGCTCGTTCGTTTCCTCGGCTATTTTCGGCCGACGGGATACTGATTCCACCGAAAACCCGCAAATACGTCGCCGCATCCGGTCTCGCCCTGTTCAACGCCTGGAACCCCGTACCATTTGGGCTGGAATGGCAAGCGGCCAGGCGGACCCCTCACAGGCGAGGGGTCATCACCATGAACCATCATCACCAATGCGAGGATCGGAGAAACTACGGAACCCTCTCTGCCTCCGCTACCACGGCTGTCGATTCCCTCGCTCAAGCGACGGAACCGTCGCCTATCCGGAGCCACGGCATTGTATTGCATGAGCCACGGCAAGGTAATGGAGCAGCGTTGATAGCGTAGTCGAAAGCAGCACCTAGAATAATAAAGACCGGCGTCACGGCTATCCTCTATCCCGTAGCTTTACATCGCATACATCTCTGACGTGATTTTGAACCTTTGATAGAACCCCTTTTCCAGGACGACTTGGCAGCTCAGACTTGTATCTTTCTTGCACCCGTTGATATCACCCTTGCGTTTTAGCAGCATGGCTGGGGATGACAGAAGCCAGTCAGGAAACTGACCGAGCAATCAGAAGAAGAATCAGCGCGCTTGGTGGAAATGGCTTAACGACATTGCACATTGATGTTCAGTTTCGGACTCCTCGCACTCCCGGCCGCGGCAAACGTTACACCCTTGTCCCAAAAGTCCTCCTTGACTCGTTCGACGAAGACCCGTACACCGACGACGATTCCAGCGATGGTGAAAACAGTGCGTGGCCCCAAGCCCATGCCTAATGAACGCACGACTTCTGGGCAATCTCCACGTTTTCCTGTTCCTCCCAAGGGTGCCGCGCTTCACCAGCTTGTCAAGCAGAAGAAGCCCAAGCGCGTTATTACCCAGGTCATTACCAGCGAGTCCAAAGACCAATCCCCCAATAGTATCGAAAAGATCTTTGCTGGCCTCAACGACAGCGATGAGAATGGCAGCACCAAGAATGACAGTGACAAGAACGACAACGACCACCAGGAAGCGCTTCCTGAAGCGCAGCCTTTGCTGTCCAAGCCTGTGAGCACGCCTGCCACAAAGCCCAAGGTCAAGCGCCGCGCTAAGGCTGCTGCCGCTTCCCTTCGGAAACGTCACAATTCGACTGAGATTCTTCTCCGCAAGTTGCCATTCCAGCGTCTTGTACGTGAGATCACCAAAGACGCTTATGAGGAACCCTACCGCTTTCAGAATGCTGCGATGGGAGCTCTGCAGGAGGCGACGGAGATCTACCTTATCGCATTAATGGAGGACACCAACCTGGCTGCACTTCACGCAAAGCGTGTCACAATCAAGCCAGTGGACATGGTTCATGTTCGCACCATCAGGAATGAACTTCCACGCGGTTAGAAGGGGTAAAAAGTGCTCGGACTTTGTACTTGTACTGTACTAGGGCTGGTGCCCGCTGCTACCGCCGCTTGGCAATCTTGGGGTTGAAGAGGTTCTAGTCCTTGTTAAGGATACTTTTTTTTCCTCGGGTCTCCGTACTGGCGGTGTCGGTGATATAGATCGAGACAGCATATTCGACCCATTTTTATCGTAATATATCTAGGATATCCTTGAGATGTCCAGGATTTCCTTCAAGCTCTTGAGGAGCATACGGTATTTCGTTAAGTGCGAGGCGACAGACCGTGTCTTTCTCAAACTTGTTCCGTCGCCAAGCCTTATGAAATCACTTAGAGGTCATCTCTATGACTTGAGGATTGCGAAGAGCGTTGGCTTGAGCGAACCAAGATGATGGACGAGGTTTATCGACTTTTTCCTGTAGAATTTGCATAGGAGGAGTATTCAAAGGTCTCAGAATCTGAACGGGTCTTCTGAAGTGAGGATCTTTCTTCTGTAGATCGAAGTAAGGGCGGTCGTGTTTTGGGATGTATTTGACATCTTCCCAATGTCTTGAAGTTCTTTCACATTTGATAGTGACAGAGACCGGTAGAGTTGGTATAGCACCGTAATTGGCAGTTTGTCAACCCAATCGTCTCCCATTACATTAAGGTATGGTTTAAGCATCTTCTTCAAGATAGCAAGACACCGTTTGACCTTTCCGTCCGTCTGTTGGTGTCTAGCCATGCTTGAGCTCTGTTTGGAGCCCAACAACGATTGAAACACCTTCCAGAAATCAGACAGGTAGCGTGGATCTCGATCTCCGATGATCACAGCTACAGTACCTGTATGGCGCCATGCTTCACGGAAGTAAAGCTGGGCAAACTCCTCAGCAGTTATTGTGGATATTGCAGGTGTAACGCACGCATGCAACAACAAATAGTCGACGAAGACAATAATACTGTCGTAGAACGCATCACTATGCACCTTCCCCCCCCCGCCCCCATGACCGTGTTACTGGCATCAAGACAGGATCCGTACCCATTGTGTGCCAACGTTGGTCAGGAATTGGTGGCAAACAAAGTAAGCCAACATGCCTATTTGTAGGCGACTTGAACCTTTGGCAAGACCCACACGTCTTGGTGTACCTTCTCACATCTGAGTCCATGTCAGGCCAGTGAAACTCACATAGGAGCTTCCCCAATTTACCTTGTATCCCCGTATGCAATCCAGAAAGCAACGAGTCATGGTACGCTTGCAATACAGTTCCCCATAAAGCAGCTGGCATGTAGAACTTATTGTGATATAGTAAACAACCATGCTCATTGATCGAAAAACACCGATCAAATGTAGACTGCGCATATTTCTGAGAAGTGAAGTACTCTTTAGCCTCCAAGGTTTGTTCCAATCCTCAAGTGTAACATTCCCCAAGGGAATATACTCGATGGACATCCCCATGGCCGCAGCAATCTCAACTTGCTTGTTACAGTGAGCACAGTGTAGTGCAGGAATTCAACCCACCATGCTTGGCAATGGCTAAGGAAGGGCTGTGTCTGCAGCCAGACCAAAGTAGCGTGATCGGTGAACGCTCAAAGGGGGGGATCATTTGTCCGATCCTGCAAGTAATGTCTATTCGCCTTGCATATCTTAACCAGAGCTAATAGCTCTTGTTCGTGCATGGGGTAACGTGTTTCAGCGGCCTGCATCTTCCGCCTGAAGAAAGCTGTCGGCTTTAACGGTGGCAGATTCTTAAATCCCTTTACTGAGGTAGGCAACGGTGATGGGTAATGCTTTGATGGATCCGCCGGCTGGGCAAGCTATCCTCCTTTCGCAAAACCCGACGCATCTGTAAACACATATAAATTGTTGGAGGTATCATCCTCCCGAGTCCCGGGTTAGGGTTTCCCATAGTTTATTTCCTCACGTGACTTCCCTCCCGTTTACGCCACACTTCCACATATGGGACTTCACCCTTTTCTTACTTCGCGGACCTCGCATCCTCCTTTCCTCATACAAGACAACACTGTATAACTTCATACAATACAGGACGTCGTCTCCCCTACATAGGGTTCTGCTCTTAGTCTGCATTCCTTTGCCAGCTACTGCAAACTTAAATCTTGCTCAGGGTCGTAAGACGCAAGCGTAGGAGCTGTAATAATAGCTTCCTTCAGTAGCTCTGTCAATGGGTACGCGATGTATGCATAAAGATCGATGGATTAACTCAGGTAATTTGTCAACCCTAAGAAAGATTGGACCTCTTTCTGTTTGGTAGGACATGCAAAGTTTTGCACGGCATCCAATTTGAGGGTGCAATGGGCTCGTATCCTCTCCCAGGATATGGCCGCAGAATTCAAACTCTCTTTGCATCCAATTGCACTTGGACGGCTTGACATAGAGTTTGTGCTCGGCAAGAACAGCCAAAACGCTGTCCACATGAGCGATATGTTGCTTGGCCGTTTCCGAGAAGATTAAGATATGACATACGCATCATACATCTTGCCCAATATCTTATTGGTTAACCGTTGGAACATTCCTCGCGCATTCGTCAATCCAAATGGCAGAAACAAGTACTTGAAATGACCAAACAGCATCCGAAACGCTGTTTTGTCTCTATCAGCTTTGCGAACCAAGAAGCAGTGATACGCATCTTTGATGTCCAGCAAAGACTTGAACTTCTTTCCACGTACCCGATCCCGCATCTCTTAACAGTGTGTGATCCTTTATTGTTGCTTTGTTCAGCCCACGATAGTCGATGCACTTACGGAGACTGCCATCCTTTTTCTTAGCAAATAACACTGCGGCGCCCCACAGGCTCTGCGGGTGCTGAATACAACCGCACTGAGCATGAGGGGAACCTTCTTATGAAGCTCTTTGAGTTCTGCTTTGCTCATATGCCGTAAAGGGTTAAGGACAGGATTCGTACCAGGCTCCAGCTCGATAAGGAAGTTATCCTCCCATCTATTGGGTGGCAACTCTGCGTGCTCGACAAACAAACTATCCATGTACTTCTCTAACATTGGATATGGAAGATGATCCGATGCCATGCCCAAATCAACCTTCTGTCCTGTAACTTCGCTCATTTGAACCTCTGGCTCTGGTTTGGCACAATCGTGCTCATCTGCAGAGACATGAGTTGGTGACGTATTCACTGCAGCTTCTATGTCCATAGCATACGCTATGGAACACCTCCCATACACCGTGTTTTGAGATAAGCAAGTGAACTTATAAGTCACAACTCCTTCACTCCAGTCTTCTTGTTCAGGCATTGTGGCGTTGGAATGTTTAGGCTTCTTTCTGATGCCAGAGGACCGCAGATCAGCTGCATTACAGGACGATTCCGATTCCTACTTTCTGGTGACCGTCTGGGAACCAGGGTGTGTCCAAGTTCATCTGCGTGGAAGCGTAGAACGGGAATCTCATCCTCTATGTGCTCGAAACGAACATCGTCAAGTATAGAGATCCCTGGTAATACGAGGAGCAACCACAAATGGAAGGTTCTCTTGTGAATAGTGTTGTTGGTCACCCCATAACTGAAGATTGCCAGAAAATAGCTCGTTGGCATTGAAAGTATGACTGTGGTCACCCCAGGCATCATCAATGGGCATTTCAGGGTTGTAGGTTTGAAAACCATGTTTCGATACCCATCCCTGACTTACCATAAGTGTTGTGCATCCTGTATTGATCAGACTGTGACAAAACTTGCCATTCAACTTGCCATGAACCACCAAAGCACAACAACGGTTGCAGTGCTTCAGGCCTCCGAAAAATGGTTTCAGTCTCATCTGGACCGCACAGAAGCGCCCCTGCACCAGACGTATTGGTCCAATCAACAAGTATACCATCAGCGGACTCACAGCATATAGTCTCAAGTTCCTCTTCAATGAACACCATCGCACAATGAGACAAATAGACGGTGTCTTTACTAAACTTCTCTACTGAAAACCCTTTTGCTGACCAGCATTCCAATGCTGCTTATCCGTAGCCTCATCAGAGTTCTTATCCTTCTTCTTTTTAGGGGATTCTCGCGCACGATGACCCATCTCACCACAATCGAAACACTTCATGTTCAAGAGGTCCGGGCGTGTGTAAGGTTTAGCAGCTTCTGCCTTCTTAGCTTTCGCCCTCTTCTTGCCCGCAGTACCCGCAGCAGAAGAGACATTAGCACGTTTAGATGCACTACTACCAGAAGCAACGGCTTTATTGTTTGCGTCGGTTCCCTTATTGGGCGAGACGACGTACAGCAAAGGAAGTAAGCGCACGATCCATCAAACAAATTAACGGTTATGTGAGCATAGGGTGTTGCTCCCTGCAATCAACCATTGTATGCAACAACGACTGGGCGATCTCATAGCCGAGGGTATTGGTCTTATTGCGAGTAAGACAACAAAGAAACAGGTTATTCAAATCGTCAGGAGTGATAACCTCCAGGTTGCGCTGTGCCTTGACAACGATACGTTTGAACTCCGTCACATATGAAGCCATCGATTTGATAGCCATTTCCAAATCCTCTTTCTGCATGTCAACCCTGGATGCGGTATCTAACCAGGTACGTGCGTCGCTTTCAAGCGAGCCAGATACCTTCTGCCTGTACTTGAAGTCATCAATTGGAAGATGAAAAGTAAACATGAAGTCCATATGCTTCTGCAAAAATGTGTCAAAAACAGTGGCCTTGCACCTTTTGCCGTTGAACGGATGCTGCGAGATCCATGTACCATAGTGCCTACGATGCTCGATATAGAACAAATCCACAGATCCATCCGGCAGCACAACACGGCGCATTGCGGAGTCACGCTCCAACGTAGCTCGCAAACGATCCTGTCGAGCCTGATGTTCCTCGGCATGTTGATCACGAACTTCTGCTCGAGCAGCATTAATTCGGGCGTTGAACTCCTCGACGGAGATGGTCAACATAGCCATAGCGGGCGGGTAACCAGCAGGAGGTGGAGGAGGTCCACCCCCCTGGATACCCCCCATTGGAACAGGGCCCATCGTTCGAGGAGGAAGGCGAACTTCAACATGAGGTTCGT